AAAAGGAGGCACCAAATAATGCTGCGGACGCCGTGCCAGGCGCACCGTGTGGCCGCTCACTGGCAGCACGAGTGTAGCCGCGATGGTGTGGGTGTGGACGCACAGACACTTCATTGTGAATCTGAATTCGTTTCGTTCGCTTGTGTTGGAGTCTGTCCTCTCAGGAGGGAGAGGGGGTCGTGCTGAACCATAAACCAGGGGCTGCTAAAGGACAGGCCATCGGAGGTGAAAGGGGTGGATCTTCCCTCACCCGCCTGTGGGGTCCTCGGCAAACCTGCTGTTCTGTGGATCTAAAGGAAAGGAACTCTGCCCTTTCACAGAGACTGCGCCACTCGGGCCCGGTGTGCTCAGAATTCGTTTTTTCCTGTTCAGTTAAAATTGCACTGTTTCCTGCATTCCTCTGGTTCCTCCAGGAATCATTGGCCACCCTGTGCTTCTGTATCTGCTTCGTAATGGATGCTGGTGCCGCGCGGTGACCCTAACGCTTCAGAGCTGAGGGAGGTCTCCAGTGACCCCACGGCTCGGACAGAATCCCAGGCGCCTGGGGCGGCGGTGGGGGGGCTGTCCGCACCTCCCCCGCCATCTGCCTGGTCCGGGCCAGCGAAGGGTCCCTCACCTTGCAGGGCAGGCCCTGCACTGCCCCCCGACAGACGGTGCCCCTGCAGCCCACCAGGGTGGATTATTTCATCTCCCACCCCCTCTCCTCACAGTAATTCAGGACACGCTGTTCTCAGAACCATACTTACTGCTTAGGCTGCTCATGGGGCTTCATTTTTAGGATGTTATTAAAGAGCTCATTTCGCTTGGCTATTATTTAGCGCAAGTTCCGTCTGAATGGGGGAGCGTGGCATGTCCTCCTCCAGTTCCCCGTCTGCCGGCCTGGCAGGGGCGCGTCTCTGCTTCGGACGCTTGAATCGGCCACGGAGGCTCCCACAGAGCCGACTTCCCCGCGGAGTTAGTTAGCACTTCCTGTCCAGTCGCGTAGAAAGAATATCATCCTCAACGTCGTCCCTGGGCACTGGGTCCAGTGAGTGGGGAGGGGAGTTCCTCGAGAACTTTCTGTCTCTCCCCTGCTTCCCTGCCCCCGGTCTCCCTTCCTCTCCAGGCAGCGTGTGTCCGGGTGCAGGACAGGGCAGGAGGGCTCGGCCAGGGCTACCCAAGGCCTCGCTGTTGACATCCTGCGACCCTTTTCTAATGGTGGTGAACTGTGTCGACCGGCCCCTCGACAGCCACCATCAGTTGACATGCCCGGTTTAGACAACCGTTTTATGAACTCATCAGCCATCTGGCTGTTTAGAACACTAAGTAAAGCCCTTCTCCATTGCAGAAAATGGATAAAAAGGAGCATTCGGGAAGCTCAGAGGCCGTGAATGAGCCCGTGCCGCAGCCTCTGCCCTTCCCACCCAGCATCGTCCGGTCCGGGTCCCCCAAGCTGGACCCCTCGGAGGTCTACCTGAAGTCCAAGACTTTATATGAAGATAAACGTAAGTAGCTGTGGGCTGTCTCAGGAGAGCATGCGACAAAATCAATGTGAATTTTTTTAAAAACTGGAACCTACCATCTTTCGAAACCATGTCGAAAAGTCATTTCTTCATTCCATCCTAATATGACTCTGGGCTTCTTCCATTCGCATTCGACATGCATTCATTCATTCATTTTCTTTTCTTTTTCAAAACCACATATTAAGTGCCTACTATCTACCCAGCATCAAAGTAATGGGAATACAGAGATAAATAAATAGGTCACGTAGGCCCTGCACCCGGAAAGATGGCGCCGCTCTGAGCGCTGGAGTCGGTCAGAGGCCTGAGGGGAGCCGGCGATGGTTTTGACCGTAGGGATGATGCTACTGGACTGTGTCTTAGAAAGACGTTGCGTCAGGGGTGTGAGGGGTGATGACGCAGAGGGTGTGCCATCTGAGGGGGAACCCAGGAGCACGCCCCGCGGAGGCCCGCTGAGAGATGAGGGAGAGAGCGTAAGGCAGAAATTCAGGTCCACCCTCGTTTGCTTACTAATGCTAAGCGC